GGAATTAATCTCCCGAGCTACAACAAGCTGTTCTTCGGGTCTGGGTTTTCTGTCAGACGCAGGATGTCTAGTCCCCTGTCTGCTGACGGACCAGTCAAGCCCTGTAAATTGACACAGTGGAGCCCACCTGACATACTGATCCAACAAGGGGATGTGACAGCCCCAGGATAGCAAAACACAGGACTGTAAGTCCTGGGGGGGTTTCCTGACTTGAGGTACAAACAGTGAACACTGGGGAAGCTGAGGAGAAGGCAAGGAAGAACATTCCTTTGTTTTCCGCCTAGGAAGTACTTGGGTAGCACGGTCACATCAGGGCTGACTTATCCATTAGGCACAGTGCCTAGGGCCCATGATACTGTTAGGGGCCCACAAAAATGTTTTAATTTCTTTTAAAATCAGAAGGAAAAAAATGAACTTTAAGGGTCGAAGAAAATGTTTTAATTTTTTTCTCACATCAGAAAAAAACGAAACTTTTAGGGCCCATGAAAATCTATTAAATTTTGCCTAAACCATGAAAAAAAAATGTTGAAGTACTTAAAGTTATATCAAAAATAATTTTTAATATTGATATTATGATGGTGGGAGGGGCCCACGAAGGCAAAAGTGCCTAGAGCCTACAAAAGTCATAATGCGGCCCTGGAACACATTGACGAAAACAGGATCTCAGCCTGGGCTGAAACACTGCAACAGATGTTTGAGTGGCTATAAAAGGCCTGGAGACAGAAGGTTAACCTGTGTGGTTTTGTCTTTTGGAATCGTGCTAAGGTTTGTTTTATATCTTGGCCTTTTGTTTCCAGCCTTCTCACGATCTCTTGAATCCGTGGGGAAATGTATTATCCTTATTTGCGCTAGAAATATAGCTCCATGCTGTGGTATTAGGTGAGGAGTTGAATCACTCCAGCTGGTGTTTGTGCTGTTCCTGGGGGCACAGCAGAGCAGGTATTACTGTGGGTGTTCAGGGAAGGGGCTGGAAGAAAGAGGAGGCTTCAAAGGGGCACAGGGACTGGGGAGCACCGATTATTAACCTGCAAGGCAAAGTGAGGGCTGGCCTGGCCCAGTGGGGATGGTTTGGGTGTGTGACAAGCTGGCGGTGTTCAGGAGCTGACACCCGGTTAAGCACAGGCAAGGCTCCCACGGGCTGGCAGCTGGAGCTCTGACTGTCTGGGACACCCCAAGAGCTGTCACCCCAGGTTCCACAGAAGGTCAGGCTTAACCGGTCTACTCATTCCTTCTGGCTTTACAGACTCACTCCAGCAAGGAGAGGGCTGTAGGAGACCAGAGTAGTGGGGTACTGCTTGCTAGGAACGGGGTGCACTAGGAGAGCTAGTGGAGTAACAGGGCCTGCGGCGGAGCAGGATTGAGCTTTGGCTGAGCAAGGCAGGGCAATCTGCCCCAGTCACCTGCATGCTGTCCCTTCCCTCCAGCCCTGCAGTCTGCTCTCTACTGCTCAGGTGCCTTTAGCGCCGGGCCCCTCCCACTCCCCGTGCCTGTGCACAGTGCCGCTCTGAAAGCAGAAGTGGAAAGGGTCTCATGACCCGCTGCCTCCCACAGGAAGTGCAGGTGCAGCCGCCGGGGTGGCAGGCAGGACGCTGTGGGTGACTGTGACGGGGGCCCTCCCTTTCTCTCCAGGCACCGCGGGAGTGGATGGTGGATTGGAGGATCTGAAGCCCTTGGACTGGATGTTGCTTCCCCTCTGCTGCTGATCAGGTTGTGTTTGCACCTGGGAAGGCTGCTGAGCCCGGCTTGTACTCCTGGTGCCAGTTGGGGATCTGGCCGGATGCTGGTGTGCTGCAGGCTCCTGGCTGTTGGGCTTGACTGGCTCAGCACAGCTCCTCGGTGTGAGCGCTGCAGGGCAGGGACTCCTCTGATGGGGATCCCTGCTGTCCCGAAGGGAAAGGGGCGGGAAAGTGTCTGCCCCTTCCCCTCTGAGCTCTGGCTGCAGGAGTTTGCTTATCTAAGATCATCTCTGTCCCTGGGGACTTTTCCTGTTGGCTCCCAACCAGCAGGATCTCTCTCTCATGGCAGCCTGCTGCTCCCTCTTTCTCCCCTTAAGGCTTCACTTAAAGCTGTTGTTGATGTGGCCTGATTAATTCTGGGGCTCCGCCTGTTCCTAGTTCTATAACCAGCCATCTGAGACACGAGGGCACTGGCTGGCGGCAGTTGGCAGAGCCTGGTGGTGGTGAGGGAGGACAGACGGACGAGGAGCAGTGAAGCAGCTGCAGCCGGGTGGAGCTCAGGGTGCACAGGCAGGCAAGGGGCTGTGGGAGAGGGAAGGAGGGAAAGCAGGTGGCAGAGCACAGCAGAGGGGAGGGGCGGTGGGTGAGAGGCAGCAGAGCCTAGTGGACTGTGCAGGGGAGGCTGTGGGGGTAGTCATTTGCTCAGAGAGCCGCGGGGCCCAGGCCGGGCTGTACAAACGGCGGGCGTGGTTCCCCCTCAGGTGCAGTCCTTGCCGCCAGAGTGATGCCTGCCTTCCAGTTCTTGCCATTCTCAGCCCTGCTGGGCACCGTGGGGTTCCTGTGCGTGACCTTCGTAAGCTTCTGGACCCAGCACTGGCGCGGTGGCTTTGCCTGGGATAGATCTGCCAAGGTGTTTAACTGGCACCCGGTCTTCATGGTGACGGGCCTGGTGGTGCTCTATGGGGCAGGTAAGTGGGCGCCCTCTCTGGGCTGAGGGCAGGAGTGCCGGGGCAGGGACAGGGGCCCGGGAGTGGTGCTGAGTGAGCTGGCCTCTCCCCCCTGCAGCGGTGCTGGTGTATCGGGTGCCCAGGTCCTGGACGGGCCCCAAGCTCCCATGGAAGCTGTTGCACGCGGCATTGACCCTGGCAGTCTTTGTCCTGGTCGTGCTGGGGCTGGTCGCTGTCTTCCAGTACCACGGCAAGAGCATCGCCAACATGTACTCGCTGCACAGCTGGCTGGGGCTGGCGGCTGTGCTGCTCTGCTCCTGCCAGGTGAGTGCCCAGCGCCCTCCCCCCCCATGCCCATCTTTTCTCCGGCTCCCCCTCTTGCCGGTTGGCTGCCTGTGCCACGGCTCAGTCCACTCTGCCCCGAACTCCTCTCTGTTCCCCCATCCTAGTGGCTCATGGGATTCGCTGCCTTCCTGTTACCCTGGTCCCCTGCCTGGCTGCGGCTCCTCTACAAGCCTATTCATGTCTTCTTTGGCTCCACCATCCTCGCCCTGTCCATGGCAGCATCCATCTCCGGCATCAACGAGAAGCTCTTCTTCAGCCTGTGAGTGCCAGAGCTGGTTTGGGGTGCAGGTGTCTCTCCATTTGGCCCAGGGCTTCCTGTGCTGCTTGCGCGAGCTGGCCCAGACCAGGTCCATCTTGTCCAGCAGCCTGTCTTGGACAGTGGCGCATACCAGACCTTCAGGGCAATGTTCCCTCTCCTTTTCTCCATCCATGTGCAGAATAAATTACGTGCAGCCCTGATTGGCCTGGGGGTGGGAGGAGCGCGCCAAGTTTTTTCTGCCCTACCCCTGCCCTGTGAGGATTGGCCTGAGGGTGGGGGGGCTCCAGTCTCCCACCGCCAGGAGCATGGGTGCTTAATGGGAAGGGGGAGGGCAAAGAGGTTCCTCTACCCCCAGACCAATCATGGTCTGTGGGTGGGAAAGCCTGAAGCATCCTGGCCCCACCCTATCTGTCTGAGGCTGTGGAGGCAGGAAAAGGGAATAAGGGAATTTGTGGGCAGCCATCTTGGTCTTGTTAACAAGAGAGAAAGAGTCAGGCTAAGTCTGTGGCCTGGCAACGCGAGATCTGTGATTAGACGCTGCCTTTGCCTCTCGCCTCCATACGGAGATAAGGATAGAATGCTGACTCCGGCAGAGACCTTGGGATAAGGAGCATCTGGGTGGAACTAAATAACTGTTAACCATTGGTGTTAGTAATAGGAAGGAGACTAATTGTTATTGTTATTATATCAAATAGACAGTATATAAACTGCTTCATAATTGCTTGTATTTGAAGATCTGCCTTGGAGGGGGGGGGCTCCCCCCCCGTCCGAACCAGTTTTTCCCTTGCTGCAGCTCGTAATAAAACTGCCTCTGGCTACTTGTTGCTTACAAATGCAGAGTGAGGACAATGTTTTCTTCCACAAGGCCCCATCCCTTCCGCTGTGGCCTGGGGCCACTTCAACATTTTTTGAAGTAGCCCCTGGCAAAAAATTATTGCCCACCCCTGGCTTACAGGGAACCCTGCTTCAGGGAAGTGCACAGAACAGGGCAGTGATCCACCTGTCTTCCACTCCTGGCTTGTTAGTCAGGGGTTGGGTTCGCCCCAAGCATGGAGAGGGTCACCTTGGGGGGCTCCGCCCCCCGTGTATGCTGTGAGATTGACAGATGCCAGCAACCAGCTGTATGGTGGCAGCTGTAGAAGAGAAGGGCAGGCTGGGTGCAGAGAGGATAACTAAAGGAAACTCGGGAAGTGCCCCCTGCTCTAGCTAGCCCTTCATGAGGCTGGGGAGCTGCTGTTAGGCAGGAGTAGGTGGTGAAGATGACTGGGCAAGGTGTCCAGGGAAGCGGCCTGGGAGATGGGCCGAGGTGTGGCTGGACTTCAAATAGGAGATGGATGGATGCTCCCCAGTATGGGTGAGGTCCCCCTTGCTCATCTGAGAGGGGAGCTGGTAGGGTTTTCTCCAGAGGGAGCTGGGATCGCCAGGGGCGAGGGTGCTGGTGCTGGGTTGGAATGAAGGCAGCGGCTCCATCTCTCCCCCCACAGGACGAACAAGACCATTCCCTATGAAAGGCTCCCCCCTGAGGCCTGGTTCGCCAATTCTCTGGGGATGCTGATCTTGGTCTTTGGGTTGCTGGTGCTGTGGGCTCTCGCCACACCGGCCTGGAAGCGCCCGGAGTCTGAGCTACTGGAGGCCCAACAGGTACCGAGTCCATGTTGCTGGTGGCTCAGGATGGGGGCTGGGTTGCAGCTTGGCCGGGAGGGGATGCTGCGGGGCTGGGGAGAAGCTGGGCATGTGGCGTGGTGCAGTCAGGCCAGGTGTAGGGCCTATGTGGGGCTGGGGAGGGGGACGGAGGGTGGGAGATGAGGCTGGAAACAGGCAGGAAATAACAAGAGTTAACTCACCACTGAGCTACCTGGGCCGACACCTACTAATGTGATGAGAGCCAGGAGACCAGCAGCTCAGCCAGTGGGGCAGGTGAGGGCCGTGATCAGACATGTGCCCAGTGTGGGAGGGTGGCACTGCAGGCCAGGGCAGCTCTGGATGGAGCAGCAAGATCCCGCCTGGAGTTCCCTTTGGAAGTTAGCTGGCGCAATGAACGGCTCTCGTGAGCGCCCGGGCCGACACCTACTAATGTGATGAGAGCCAGGAGACCAGCAGCTCAGCCAGTGGGGCAGGTGAGGGCCGTGATCAGACATGTGCCCAGTGTGGGAGGGTGGCACTGCAGGCCAGGGCAGCTCTGGATGGAGCAGCAAGATCCCGCCTGGAGTTCCCTTTGGAAGTTAGCTGGCGCAATGAACGGCTCTCGTGAGCGCCCAGTGGCGGTGATGAGGAGGCGCACGGTGTGCAGTTAGCTCTGGGGGGCAGGGGCTGTTGTCTTGCTCTGAAAAATCAGCCTCTTGGTAAGTTCAGATGAGCACCCCACTCAGAGGTCACGTCCTATTAACCCAGGCGAGGGGCCAGGCTGGTTCCTACCGATCCTGGAGAATAGGAGGTTAGGCCAGTGCCTTGGGGTGCCAAGCACTGGACTGGCTGAGCCATGGGGCATGGGCTGCCAGACAGTACCCTCTTGGGCCCTGGCATGCGGACTGGATGGGAGTGAGGACTGGGGGTGACTGGGAGACCGAGGATTACAACACGCCCTCCCGCTCGGAGCTTTGTCCATAGCTCCCCTCGTTCCCTCACCTACTGCCAGCCAGTGCCGCTCCTGGAGACACCAGGGTGGGTGAGCGGGTGGCCAGGCCCCATTGGTGGGGTGAGGCCAGAAGGGGGAAATGCCTTCAATGTCCTGAGGCTCCTGGAAGTGGAGGGGCATTGCCCTGTGAAGGGCAGGGGGGCCTGGGCTAAGAGGATCTCGCACTCCTGGGACCAGGCGTTTCTCACAGAGGATCCCTGCTTGTAAAAGGAGGCTGGGTTGTGGGGCTGGGAGGGACTCAGCACTGGACCAGGCGAGTGCCTGGCTCAGAGCCTCTCTCTCTACAGCCTCTGCTCCATTAGGACAAGTGGAGCTGCTGCTCAGGCCTGCAGGGTGACTGACTCCAGCGAGAAGGGCAGCTCGGTGGTCCTGCGTCTGGCACCAAACTGTTTCCAGAGCCTGCCCAGTACAGAGCCGATGGGAAGAGGTGCTCGCTGTGCTGGGATTCCCTCTCGCCTGGCTGCTCTCGCGGATCCCTGGCTCTCGCCGCTCCCCTGCCTTCCACTCTGGGCTCCTGCACGTGCTGCTTCTCCCTGGGATTCAGCAGGCAGCCCTGGGCTTGCTGGCTCCTCTTGCCAGTGCTGCTGTGCCCGAGGCCCTGGCGGATGCTACACCTTAGCTCACCTGGGACAAACGGCCCTGCTGTGTGGCACTTGGCCTGGCATCAGCTCTGCAGGGAGTGGCTGGGTGGAAGGAGCCAGTGTTGGATGCTCTGCTGTCACAGCATGCAGGAGCCTGGTGCTCAGCAGGCTGGGCTGCGGCCCGCTTCCCTTTCCTTCTGCCTGCCTCCCACTTCTGCAACTCTCTGGCACTGTCCCCGGTGACTCAGAAGAGACTCTGCTAGGACTCAACTCCAGGTTTGCTTCCAGCCCTGGTCATGCTCCCTCCCCCTTCCTGGGGAGCTGTTGTCCCAGCTCGCTGAGTGGAGGAAGCAGGTGAGTTTCCTTCTGCCAGGAGAGGCTGTGGAGCAGGAAGCTGAAGCCCTTGTCCGTGCATCGCTGTTCTGGGCTGGGGAGTCGGGCTGTTGTGTCCCAGACTTCCTGGGAGGAATTGTCTGGAGCCATGAGGGTGGCTCTTCTGCCCTCCCTTTGCTCAGCATCCACGAACTCTGCAGCCAGTGCTCAGAATTCACCCACCTGCAGCTCTCCATTTGGATTTAGGCCAGCTGTGGGCAACCCAGGCGAGTGAGTGGGCCGCATGGGAGGCCCTCCTTCAGCTCTGGGCCACAAGATTGTCACAACCAAGACAGTTTCCCAGGATTAGGCAATTTTGCTAACTGCACTTCTATACTTAGAATTTGCAGGGAGGGGGCGACGGAACCGCAGCAGCGCTTTGAGGGGATGTGGCGGAAGCGCACGGCTCTTGGTCAGTGTGTGCAGTCGGCCTGCACCTCTCTTCACGTGCCCTGGCTTTACATGCGTGTCACTCTGGTAATACTGGTAGGAAAAAAACGACACAGATGGAAACCAAAGCAATCTGGCAACCCTGTGCGTGGGCGAACAAAATGTCTGGCGGGCCACATGCAGAACCCTGATGGGCTGCAGGTTACCAATGACTGTATTGCCCTCTCTGGGGCTATATCACAAGGCTGTGTCTAGACTGGCAAGTTTTTTCCGCAAAATCATCTGCTTTTGCGGAAAAACTTGCCAGCTGTCTACACTGGCCGCTTGAATTTCCGCAAAAGCACTGACGATCTCATGTAAGATTGTCAGTGCTTTTGTGGAAATACTATGCTGCTCCCGTTCGGACACAAGTCTTTTTCCTAAAAATATTTGCGCAAAGGGGCCAGTGTAGACAGCAGAGATTTGTTTTCCACAAAAAAGCCCCGATTGCGAAAATGGCGATTGGGGATTTTTTGCGGAAAAGCACGTCTATATTGGCCACGGATGCTTTTCCACAAAAAGTGCTTTTGCGGAAAAGCATCCTGCCAATCTAGACGTGCTTTTGCGGAAATGTTTAACGGAAAACTTTTCCATTAAAAGCATTTCCGGAAAATCATGCCAGTCTAGATGTAGCCCAACTGTATTGCCCTCTCTGGGGCTATATCACAGCTCCAGCCTGCATAGTCGCACAACCATCTCAATCGCCTTTCCTACCTCACCCGGGGGGTGCCTGGCTCTGGCCTCTGCAGCCCCCATGCCATGGCTGAGCCCTGAGAATCACCAGCAAGAATTCCAGAGCCTGGCTAGAGGCTCTTTAAGGCCTGGTCTATTCCTAGTCTCCTGGGTGACCTCTCCTGGTTGCTGGTCCAGCACAAGCTGTCTCCTCTACATGCTGACGTGCAACCTTTGGCGTGTTTACTGTGGTGTCTGCATGAGACACTCACTGCTCTGTCGCCTGCCCCAGCCAGCACTAATGAAAATGGACTCATAGCTTAGGAACCTGCCACTAGAGCTTTGCTGGTCATGCTGAGCTTTGAGCCAAGGTACTGTCCACACAGCACTGGGTCTGCCAGGGGTAGTGTGGGGTTCCCAGGAGAGTAGATTATTTCCCCCAGAACTGAGTGCGTGGGGTGGAGGGGCACTTCCGATCCTCTCTGGCTTTGAGCCCTTATTTCTTGGAATGTGCCCTACCGCGGCATGATGTGTCCTGCAAGGCTGCAGAGACGGCAGTGGGGTGGAGGTTGGTGTGAGATGCTGAGAGAGGCAATTAAATGTATTTGTTTAATGTGAGAAGCTGCCTGCTCAGCTGTCATCCTGTAGTGTATTGAGGCTTATGGGAATTGAATGAGGCTCTCTGGCTTTGAGCCCTTATTTCTTGGAATGTGCCCTACCGCGGCATGATGTGTCCTGCAAGGCTGCAGAGACGGCAGTGGGGTGGAGGTTGGTGTGAGATGCTGAGAGAGGCAATTAAATGTATTTGTTTAATGTGAGAAGCTGCCTGCTCAGCTGTCATCCTGTAGTGTATTGAGGCTTATGGGAATTGAATGAGGGTGACTCTCTGGCAAAGTTAGCTCGGGGGGGGGGGGGGGGGGCGGCGGT